GGCAGACTCAAAGACATTGAGTTAATTCAAGCCACGTATGTACATTCAGTTGTCAAATGAGATACAATTACTTCTTAGTAGCCTATAATACCCGTCTCTTGGTTATTGTAATGTAATTGCTTTCCCTGGAGTCTTTCAACAATCTCGTTTTGACGGAAACAATTGTGAACAGCTATTCGGCGTCCCCGAACTTTTGACTTCTAAAACGCCCTACGGACCATGAATTATCCGGGCGTCTCAGCTAAACCCCTTTTATTTTCGCCCCTTTACTAAAACGTCGCAATGCTCAAAACTCAATGCCAATCAAGTCGCATTGATCATTTCTCATTAAGCAGTCGCTCATTGTCGCTTAATGCAACCATGTATGACCAATTGAGTGGCATGATTTGTCTTTCGGGAATAATCACTCGGTGTACCTGAGGCTAGTCTGCATCCGGTTAATTTGGGACTTGATGGATGCTTCACTTTGCAGCCAATCTTGAAACTGCAACGACTTGGGAACTCTGTCAGTTGCCTACAGTGGGTTAACATGCGATTGATCATGTAACAGTTGAGGATATAGACAAAACATGTTAATTGATGCTAGCTACATCAGCTACTGGTCGGTGCTTTGGCGTAACCATGTTGATGTATGTCGCTATTGTCCCTGATGACTTCACATCTCTTACTCTGATTTGTCAATTGGTTCAACCATCTAATTTCATCCCCATCATCTGACACCTGCCGACAAAGAAACCCGAATACTAGCGACAAACACTTCACCCATTTTTTCCAAGTGGCGCCCTTCAACCGCTAAAAAAAACTAGCCCTACCCTGAAAAGCCCCCCGTTCCTAAAAATACCCACTTCCCTCCTCCGATCCTCTTCCACCGCCTCATCCATCACTTCACCCCAACCCCATCGACAAACTCCATAATGTCCCCCTCGTGCTTCTCATCCCTCCCCGCGCAACCAACAGACGAGATCTTCGATCTCCTCGCCCTCTACCGCGCCGACACCTCCCCCGACCGCGTCAATCTCGGCGTCGGCGTCTACTGCACCGACGAGGGCAAGTCATGGCCCTTGGATGTAGTCACCCGCGTGGAAAAGCAGCTCTTTGACGAGGCTAGTCTCACGAGGCATGACTATCTCCCCATCGAGGGCGACCAGCAGTTTCTGAAGGTTGCGAGGGATTTGATCTTTGCGGAGCAGGATGATTTGAGCATCGCGAGTGTGCAGACTGTCTCCGGCACCGGAGCGAATCATATCGGTGCGCGGTTCGTGGCGGATTACTTGAGACCGCAGAATATCTGGGTGTCGGATCCCACGTGGGCTAACCACCATATGATCTGGGAGTCTGTCGGTATGAAGCCGAGATTGTACCCGTACTACAAGAAGTCAGACTGTTCGTTGGACTTTGAGGGTATGATCAAGACGCTGGAGGAGCAAGCTCAGCCGCGCGATGCTGTGTTGCTGCATGCTTGTGCGCATAACCCAACTGGTCTTGATCCTACCAAGGAGCAGTGGAAGGCCATCGCAGAAGTCTGCCAGCGAAAACAACTCTTCCCCTTCTTCGACGCAGCCTACCAAGGTTTCGCATCCGGATCTCCCGCCGAGGACGCATGGGCCATTCGCTATTTCTACCACCAGCAGCCCCGCCCCGACATGATCGTCGCGCAGTCATTCTCCAAGAACTTTGGTCTGTACGGTCACCGCACAGGCGCGGTTCATCTTGTTCTCGCGGAGCCGTCCAAGGAGATTCGCGATAACGCATACTCGACGCTATCGTACCTGCTCCGATCTGAGATTTCGATGGCGCCCAAGTATGGATCTACTATTGTCAAGACGGTTTTGGACAGTGAGGAGTTGACTGCGGCGTGGATGGCGGATCTGCAGGTTATGAGTAGTCGGATTAAGAGTATGCGACAGGCCCTTTATGATGAGTTGGTGAGGTTAGAGACGCCGGGGACATGGAACCATATTGTTGATCAGGTAAGTCAGGCGATCTACGGTAATAGCGAGGAGGTGCTGACGGTATAGATCGGTATGTTCTCATACACCGGTCTTTCTCCCTTCGAGGTCAAGGTTCTTCGTGAGCGATTCCACATCTACCTGCTCAACTCGGGACGTATTTCTATCTCTGGATGTGAGTTTGTCTCTGTATTTCTGGCAGACATTATGCTAATGATACGATAGTGAACAAGAGGAACGTACAGTATGTCGCCAAGGCAATTCACGACGTCCGAACCCAGGGTCACGCACTTAACGGAACAAATGGTACAAATGGCACAAACGGCGTCAACGGGCACTAGAGTTCATATTTTACTATAGATCATAAGAGCTAAAATGCCCTCCCGGGTCAAAATAGAGATGTTCCTTTACGACAATTGTTACGCTTCGTTCAATTCCGAGTAAGATGAATAGTCGAATTGTTTATCTGACTGGACAAATCCCTGCTTCTTTTTCTTCTGACCCGACAGAGCTTTTTCTTATTGTCTTTTTGCTTTCTTCAGTGGTTTCATCCACTGAAGAGAAAATGCGGTCTGAAGCTCACTCGTCAAAACAACATGATCTCCGATGCCGGGCCGAGCTCGGCCATAAAAATTCACGCCGCAACGCCAAAGGACGACAGGTCCATCAACAATTCGCGACTGGACAACAGACTGTAACATCGAGGCTCACCAGTTTGTCCCAAATTGATGAGGCAGATGAAGTTCACGTGCACCAAGCTCATATCCTGTTGACGAGCCAAGGCAGCGCATTGAGAGACTACACGATAAATTGACCCTATCGCATGGACTCGGTCGTACCATGACACTCTAAAAATCATTGCGCAATAGCCTTTGATAAGTTACATCAGGCCAAGCAATGTATCTTATCGCAACATTGAGCCTCGCTATCAGATAAGTTCTATACCAATATCATGGCTATCTTTATCGTCGTCTCTGCTCCCCTAGCCGTACTCAACAGCCTGAATCTAATGCACTCCCTGAAGATACACGCTAGCATGTCCCTAGCAAACGAGACCAGATAATCGCATCATGGAAGTGTGCAAGTACGCACATATCTCCTGACAGCTGACCAACTGTGACGACTAAAGAGTAAGGCGTGCCAGTACACTTTAGCCATGTAACAAAACTCGTTGAATGATTCGCTCAACACTGTCGCGTCGGCTTGTTGAGACATGAATTATTCAGCCGGACCAATTCAACAACGAAAACGAAGCTATGACCGAACTTCTACTTCTAACACCATCGTGCACAACAAGCTTTCGGCTTCTCAAGCTCCAGAGTTCGCATCGTTAGTGGTCAGTGTCCGGTGGGGCATTCAACACCATTTTCCTAATCAGGCAATTCTCAACTCTAGGCTTGCCAGCGGATAACTCGGGATCTCAGTGACGAACTTTTTCAGCGTCAATGATAGGCTACCGCAATGTCTTGTCTTAGACGACACCCTGTCGGAGTCCGACTTGGCTATTCGGATGAAAGATGATGATATGGCATGAGTAGTATAAATACAGCGAGCTTCCAGTCTTTACCTTTCTACATCTCCAGCATCTTCCTTACAAGCTTCAGACTCTCTTCTTAAACAATTTTATCATGCCCGATACTCTCACTCTCCAAGGCAAAGTCGCCATCGTCACTGGCTCAGGTCGCGAAAACGGAATTGGCGCTGGTATTGCCCTTGCCCTCGCTCGAAACGGTGCATCTGTCGTAGTAAACTACGTCTCCGACTCTTCCGAGCATCGCGCCGAAAACGTGTGTACCACGCTTCGTGAGGCAGGAGGAAAGGCTATAGCTATCCAAGCTTCAGTTGATACTACTGAGGGAGCAAAGCATCTCGTTGATAAGACTCTTGAGGGCTTTCGGACCGATCATATTGATATCCTTGGTAAGCTACTCGTGTACACTCTTTCATCGAAGCTGACGGTTGTAGTGAACAATGCTGCGACGGCATTTTTCTGTCCCATTACTGATGAACCGAACGTGGAGCAATTGACGAAGGTCTTCCAGCTCAATGTTCTTGGAGCTTTTTACATGGTCCACTACGTTATTGCTCACATGCCGCCCGGCGGGCGTATCATCAACATCAGTTCTACCAACGCCAAGCGAGGCAACGTCGCTGTCTCTGCGTATGCAGCTTCCAAAGCCGCTCTTGATAGCTTGACGTGGACATGGGCTGGAGAGGTACGTACCTCAACACATTCCCTCTTTCGGATAGACACTGACACACATGAATAGCTTGGTCGCAGTAAGGGTATCACTGTCAATTCAGTGGCTCCCGGTCCTGTGAGGACGGAGTTTTATCCCAAGGGACAGGAGGATGAGTTGATGAGGGCGGAGGTTGAGATCACTAGAGCTGCTGATCGACCTGGAACGCCTGAGGATATTGGTGATGCGGTTCTTTTGTTGGTTCAGGGGAAGTCTAGGTGGATTACGGGGCAGTATATTGGTGTTAGTGGAGGCGTCACTTACTAGGCGTTGGCAGAACATTAGCTTGTGAGATACCGTACTAGGATAGCCAATCTCCAATATCAGACCGAAGATGGGTCATCTCTAATGGAGAGACCTTTTCTACCCATACCACCTTTCGCAAACAATCCATCAAGTCTTCCCATGCACGCAGCCGAATACGTGACATGGTCCGAGTGATCTGATCCAGATGCCATGGTTTTGAAGGACCAACACCCATGCAGACCTGGATTACCAACACCCAAAGCTTCAGCTCTTCTTTCCCCTCCCAGAACCTATCATCTAACTGTTCCATAAGTTGTTTGACCGAATGATTCCTTCTAGCTGCAACGTAAAGCGCATCGCCAGACGACTGTGTCATGACCAATGCGAACAAAGAAACAGCCGAGATGCGCACTATCGCTGCGAGAATTCCAGTAGATGTCGCATGCGAAAAGCCGTCGCGTTTCGGTATAGAATTGATTCTTTGTAGGGATAAGACTTGATGGGCGAGAGCGCATACTGGGATAAGGAGATCGAGCGCGAATGGGCTGTCAAGCCAAACTTCGTTTAGTAAGACGGCTACTTGCTTCGTGGATGTGAGAGCGCCATCGATGACAGCAATTTCGTCCTGGATCGGTTGCTCATCACTTCTTAATGACGTTAAGAGCTTTTGGACATATCGTGACCTTGTAGTTTCAGGCAAAGTAGGTAAATCCCGAGGTAGAGGAAATCTCGGTTCCGCATCTTCCACCATCGAACCCAATAGGTCGCAGCTACAGACGTTAGTTATCATTATAAGTTGGAGGCTCAAAAGACTTACATGAACAGAGATTGTCGGATAGCGGGGCGTGAGTCTATTTCTTCAACGCCCCCTGCCATCTCAACTATTCTTTGCAGCCCTGCCATGTGAACCATCCACGATTCCGAATTCCCAGCGCGCATCTACCTCATTAGCTCATACTGAACTGTGAAACTGTTTCGGGGACTTACATCAAAAGTCGCGAGACAAATAACCGTCCCGATAACTGCATTTTCACAAGCTTTACTTTCCACCTCAATCCCCTCCCTCACCAAGCTCAACGATTCAGTATACTGCTCAATCTCTTCCACCGTCGGCGGACTCTCAAACGATGCCGTAAACTTCTGCCTCAATCTCAAAACAGGGTCGACAATAGCTATCGAGAGTAATCCTTCAGATACCATGTCCATCGCCCGGAATAATCGTCGGAAATTATAGCAGACTTGCGCGTCGCCCCAGTATGTCGGTATAAAGATGGATTCACTTGTTGGATGGGGTGTGCGGACTGTGCCCATTCGTCGGGAGAGACCTATGTCTTTCATTACATGTTGGCGGATTTTACGTTGAGCTGCTTTGTCTTTTTTGGCGGGGTTGACTTGGACGAATGCGAAAGTTGAGGGCTGTGTGTTATTCCTCGTGTGAGGTTTCGGAATTGTAGGGACTTTTTGGACCTTGAATTTGATCTCCATTATCGCAATATTGTATTCTGGGAATGAGAAAGTTGAGATGACTTGGTGAGGCTAACTTGGATGAGTCTCATCTTGGCTTAGTGAGCGGGTCAAATAATTACCCGATTGTTGGTTGAGATGAGTTGGCGAATGAGGTTAGTGGGATGAGATGCAGGGACGCAGATAAGCTTATCCTTATCCTTATCGCATCTTGTGCTTTCATCGGCCAACATTTATGATGGTCAGCAACATACCCTGCACGTCAGTGGCCGGCAGCAATTATTATCTTCCTGCTTGCGCGATTGAATAATTTCTATGTTGCGTAGGATAATGTTCACTATTTCCTACCGACTCCCATATATTCCGTCTTTTCTTTCGTCTTGATCATGTGAGACGTTCAACATTTCATGAGGCTGCCTTCGGCTCCTGAAATAGAGCATGACATGTCAATTTGCGATTCGTGTGATAAAAGACCACCCATGACATAAATATTCCCCGTCTACGTGCCGTCTCTCGATATAAACCCTCTATCCATCATACAATTATTGCTTTCCTCGGATAGTAGAGCAAACCCCTTTGTTCAAAGCTGCCATGCCGATCAACGACCCCCGGAAGCGAATCTGACTGGTCCGATCGATCCCTCCCTCAACCGAGATCAGTCCAGACCTCCCTCCCAACCACGTGGTCCACCAAACAAGCATCAAAATAAACACTCAGATTAACATCACGCATCACCCTAATAAAATAGACCAGTCTGGGCACATCGTCATCCCTCGGAACGCAGTCATTCCAACTCATCTTCCTCGGAACACCAACCTATCAGCTCCCTCCCCCCACGGCCCCAAGTCTCACCTTAGCATAGTCGCAATCTCCGCATGGAACCCTAATCCTCCCCTCACCCAATCATATCACTTGCAAAGCCGACATCATATGCCGGCAGCTGCTGAGAGTTTCCGTTCTCCCCCAGATTTGCTACCCCAGGTAAAAACGGCCAACTCCAGTACCCCGGATCCGATAAGGACCAAGACACACAGAACCCCGCTCGCGCTAGCGTCTGGGGAGAGAGAGTTTGAATCGACAGATTGGGTATAAAGGGGGTTGAGACCGATGTCGATCTTGGTCTGTTTTTTATTTCTGCATCATCACTTCTTCATCAGCAAGATGGATACCAGCGCGCAGAACGAGAAATTGCAGAATGGCGCTGATACCGCGTCCAACATGACCGAGACTCCCGGCGCGACTGTTGAGAGGTACGCGTCTTCCGTTCACTGTTTCAATTAGATGACTCACGATTTGTAGCATTGAGAACGCGCAGTTCTACATTGATCCCAAAGCAGAGGCTCGGCTGCGTCGAAAGATTGACTGGATGATCGTTCCGACCGTCTGTCTGCTCTATCTCTTCTGCTTTATTGACCGCGCCAATATCGGTACGCTCCCAATTCCCTTTCATTGCTCTCGAAGTCTCCGAAATTAACACGAGTCAGGAAACGCCCGCCTCGCAGGCCTAGAAGAAGATCTCGGTCTCAAAGGCAACGACTACAACCTCGTCCTATCAGTCTTTTACATCAGCTACATCGTCTTTGAGATCCCCGCCAATCTTTTGTGCAAATACATGGGCCCCGGATGGTTCATCCCCTTGACATCGTTAGGTTTTGGTCTCTGTTCTATTTTTACTGCGTTTGTGTCGAATGTCCATCAGATTTGTGGTGTGAGATTTGTGTTGGGGATTTTTGAGGCGGGTATGTTGCCTGGCATTGCGTATTATATGTCCCGATGGTATAGACGGTCGGAACTTACGTTTCGGCTGTCGCTGTATATCGTCATGGCGCCGTTGGCGGGTGCGTTTGGAGGTCTTTTGGCATCGGCGATTTTGAAGCTTCCCAACTTTGGACGCTTCACCAGCTGGGAGATGATCTTTGGTAAGCCTTGTCACGTCTTGCAGCACGACCAAATACTGACTTTCCTCCAGCCATCGAAGGTATCATCACCGTCGGCCTGTCCATCATCTCTTTCGGTAAGCACCCTCCTCCGCATGCCTCTCACCTTACTAACATGTCTCAGCCACTCTCACCGACCGTCCCCAATCAGCCGCCTGGCTCACCGAAGAAGAAAAGGCCCTCGCCCTCAACCGCATCAAGGCCGAACGTCTCGGCACAACCGAAGTCCTCGACAAGATGGACACCGCCAAGATCATCGCCGGCATCCGCAGTCCCCTGACGCTGTCAACAGCCATCATCTTCCTCCTCGACAACATCACCGTCCAAGGCCTCGCCTTCTTCTTGCCCACCATCGTACGAACCATTTACCCCGAGCGAACAACTATTTCCCAACAGCTCTTCACTGTGCCACCATATATCGTCGGTGCTTTTTTCACGGTCCTTATTCCGGGAATTAGCTACAAGTTTGATCGCAGACAGATATTTATTATTCTTTGCGCGCCGATGGTTATGGTGGGCTATGCGATCTTTCTGGGCACGACGAATGGGCATGCGAGATATGGTGCTACGTTCCTCGTTGCTAGTTCGGCGTTTGCACTGGCGCCTTTGACGAATTCTCATATCAGCGCCAATGTTCTCAGCGACACGGCGCGCAGTGCTGCAATTGGTACAAACGGTACGTCTATCCAACCGTCACCTTCACCCTTGATAAGAAGCTAACCATTCACAGTCATGTTCGGTAACATCGGCGGACTCATCTCCACCTGGTCCTTCGTCAAAAGTGACGCACCCAACTACCCCATCGGCAATGGGTTGAACTTGGCCACGTCGAGCACGATTCTTGTTCTTGGTGCCGCGACTCTCTGGTGGATCAAGCGTGATAACCGGAAGCGGGCTAGTCGATCGGCTGAAGCTGAATTGGCTGGTTTGTCGCACCAGGAGATTCAGGACCTTGATTGGAAGAACCCCAACTTCCGATGGATTGCTTGAGCGACGGTCTTTGGCGATAGTATAGCTTTCCATATGGGATTTGATTCAATGTACTTATAATTCTCTAAATATGGCGTTTGTAATACTTCGGCTGGTTCAATCGAGAGGCTGTGATGTTTTACAGACCGAGCGCTGCGTGCCTCAAGCATTGACACTGAGTCATCAATGGTATCAGTGTATTGTTTGCACGTGGATCTTGAGTTAATTGTCGACCTGGCTAGAATCCTAGGCCCAACACTAATAGAAAACCCGGTTCCCGTTTTGTCGGCATGAGGGCTCCCCTATTCAATTACGACAGCCTGCCAGTTATCGGCATACGGTCGCAAAAGTCTGCTAACAACTTTGTGGCTTAGTTCGGCTCACAGTCCAGCGACAGCAATTCCTTGATCTACAGTTCCATTCGCCTTGATGCTGGCCTCCGTCGTTGAAATCGCTAGCAATAAAATCCTGCCATTTGTATCATCGGATTCAGTGGTTTCGAGTGGTGGGAAAATTATTCGGTGCGGCCGTGATGTTCTGGAGCCTGATTGTCTAACATCGCCATGTCAAAGATGGATCAATCTCAATCTAGCGCATATAACCTTTAATGTACTCAATTTAATCCATAACCTTAAACTGGTGTCGTTCAACTCTGATAGCTCTACCACTAATGGACGTGATTCAGAAACTCGTTTATGCCCTAAGTAATGTTGTGCTGTCTCAGGTAAGACCCTGAATTCATGATGAAATGATTCTGTTTAGTTAAAATCTATTTCAGAGCGGTGGTTCAAGTATCAGAGTTTCTGTCACTGCAAATGTATTGGAGTAATGAGTGATGGACTTCATATCTTGAGTATAAAGTACTACACATCCTCGCAGTCTCCTCCATTTCCTCAAGGTCATATCCCCGAATTCTCCTCCCCTTTACATTTACACACCAACAACAGCTCCGTAGTAAAAAGCCTAACATAACCGAAATCATGTGTCAGATCAGAATCATTAGGAAGCAATGCCAGAAATGCTATGTGAACTTCCCTGACGAAGTCTCCGTGAGTCGTTGCCAGAAAGCCGTAGATAACAAAGTTGCAAAGTGCGATCCGCCAGATTGCTACGAGGTTGGGTCAATGGCGGTAGGCAATTGGAGAGACTGCAAGAAGTGCTGGGCCAAGTATGAGGCGGAGCTCGAAGCAGAGCGTGAGAGACGGAGGCTTCTGTTGTTGCAAGGAGCGAAGTGATCGTGGGGCTGAGGAGCTGAGGAATGAGGGGTATGGTATATCTTAGATTATGAGGATTACCTATATATGTTTTGAAGATATTCACTCTAGTGTTAGGACTCTGCGCTTAAAACATGCTTTGTCACTTGAGGAACCCGACAGACTTCTTTCCTTCCATGCGCCGATGCTATAAGGTGGGATTACCGCCATGGTTTCCCTCATTGGAAGTTGACGTCGCGAGAAGCCACAGGCAGTTAGTCTCGTGAAAACCGCTCAAGGAACAATACGACAAGGTGATGCCACATATGTTATTGGCAAAGATGAAGTCAAATAAGCTTTAATACACGTGATGGTGGCCCCAGAGATTAATGCCTTTCACGCATGGGATACGAGAAGAAAAAGGGGTAGCAAAGGGAGTGGCCTACAATCGGCAAAACTACGGATCGCGACAATATGGACCACAATTTCGTTTTCAAGAGCAAAAGTCAATAAACAACATGTGTGCGGTTGATAGAGTCTGAAACTGAAACCCTGAAGCATTGTTAACTTTCCTTTGTCATAATCTTGATGCTAACGACTGTTCATAACACTTGCGAAGTCCATTGAGGCCCCTAGCTATGGTGTCTTTGCTAAGGCTTTTGGTACTCCATTCATGACTGGCTCACTTCACCAATAATATCTTTTTTACTTGGTACTAAAGACCTTGTGGGGGAAATGTTTATGAATAGCTAGATCAGTTCTCATAATTGGATCATTGGTTCAACTTCTTCCTTGTTCCGTCCTAAGAAATAGAAAAGACAATCCTGGCTTTCGTGATGATGCCAGATACCGGGATTTGGAACGCCTTGGGCGCATCTGTTGCCAAGCAAAATGGAAACGCAATTCGAAGGATTACAATGAGTAGTCACTCCCCCAAGTCACGCCCTGTCTCGGGAGACATCAAATCGAATGCCGTCTCCGGCCGATCAAGGTACCATGCTACAAGACAGGTCTAGTCCAGATCAAGTCTCATGACAGTGTCAGAATTCGAGGGGTGCATCTGAGACTGCTTAGAGACTCTGGCGTCCCACGGAATATAAAGGTCATTCCAGAAACTCATATTATCGTTCAAATCGCTCGCCATGACCTCTTCTTTGGTACCAGCCCAGATACCATACCAGCTTCCGTACATCTCCATCGTGACAGTGCCGGACATTCTGAGCATCTTGAGCCACGGATCGCTGGGCAGCTTGATCCTTGAGCTCACCGACCAGCCAGGTGCGACCTCGGTGAGGAACCTGGAAAAGACTGGTCGGTAGCCGCTGGCATCATCCCGAGAGCCCTCGCCAAATGTAACACCGGGCGTGTCTGTATGGAAGTTGAAGTAGCCGAGGTCAAAGGCGTCGCTGCTAAGGGGAGAAAACTCATTCCAGAAGGTGATGGGGCCGGTGCCGTTGTTGGTGATGGTGACTTCGATGGTGAGGGGATCAGAATCGACTTGCTCCATGGACACGTCGACGTTCTTCACGGCCGCCCAGACCTTCGGGCGGAGGTACTTCTTGCGCTTAGTGCAGATCTCGCGATCGGGGCCCTCACCAGTGACGGGGACGAGATTTATGGCCCGCTCGCGTTGCAAGGCGATGTCCTGCTTGTTCCTGGGGTGAGGGACAAAGTCCTCGTCATGAGGACCGTTAAAAACACGATGACTGGCCAGCTGGGTCGCGTTGAGGGTAGCTTGGCCAGTGGCATGAGGGGCAGCAGATGTGCCAGATATGATAGAGGTGGTAAGAGATGGTGTAGGGAGGATGGGAGAGGCGGAGGCAAGACAACCGACAAGGCCAAGGGCCAAGATAGGTTTGTTGAGGGAAAACATCTTGAATGGTGGGTTTGGGTGTCAAGTTATGCCTGAACTGCTTATTACGTTCTTAAGATGGAGGAGAATGGTGATTTGTTGAGTAAAGGATGAAATTACTTTCTTCTCAAACCTGGGGTACGGCGCGGTATTTATAAGAATTTCTGCGTTGATTTAGGAGTCCTCGTGGGTTTCTGTCGATGACAATTAGTTTAGAATTACTGTTTTGCGAAAAACCATATTTTGGTCGCAGGTATGGGCGAACCCTCAGGGCGCAAGCCTATTCGTGGAAATTGGTGGTAACTTTATGTTGAACTTAGGGGAAACTGTGGTTGCCAATCATTTACAGCTGTCAAGAATTTGTCCTTTTCCACATGGTACTGAGTTTGCAATCTTGCTGATGTTGCGTTCGCGCAAGATGGTACAAGGGCGGAAATAGACAAGCTTTCCTTCAAATGATCTCAATGAACCATCTGAGTAGGCCTTGGTCATCGTGAAAGCTTCTGNNGTGTTTGCAGCCTAAAGCTTAAACTTATAGGCCGCAGTCCTCCCAAAGCATCTGAGTAGGCCATTCTCCCTAGACATTCATCCACTCAAATCTTTAGTATTTTTACACTAATACATTCGCTCTATAGCCATTCCCTGACATTTATTGTACAGCCTGGCTCTTTTCTAGTTTCCATTCATGAAAGCATAAGCCACAATATGAGAAAAAGAAAAGTCTCATTATCCACCACCAGTAGTCAGTTCAAGGCTACACATTCCTGCTTTCAGAGGTTAACTCTTCTTGAGGTGGCGTACTTCAACTATTTATAGTTCACTCTCTCAACCTTGTCATCTTGCGCCCCTCCACCAGCTAACTAGAGATCCCGATTGCGGCTCTTCGTCGCTATAATCCAAAATCATCGATGCCGTAAGGAATTTCTAGACAGTTGCAATACCATCCACAATTAGCCCCATACGAGAAACGGTTAGATAGCTTCTAATGATCTTTGCATTTGTCTCGACAATCCTCTTGCACTAAGCGTGGAGATACTGTCTTAGTGGTTTTAGATGCCATTATTGCCCAACTTTGCGTAGCCTACGTCGCTCTGGGTTCCTCGGCGCGTATCGATGTCTAAGTTGTGGGNNTTCCAGCAGAGAGAACCTAGTGTCTGGAGAACAGAAAATGGTGCAGGCGTGGTCGCGAATTGTTCTGTATCAGAAAGCGAGGCACCTGTTGATCTTGTATCCTCGGATGACTCAGTTGTAAGCGGACCCTATTTGGGGGACTTAGCAGCAGCTGTCGAGTCCGTTGAAGAATAGTGAGTCTCGTTTCCGGCCTTCTATACTCTGACGATTTAGTGGTTGACTGTCCACTAGTATAGCTCTCTTTAGACTTCGCTTTATCCTTTGAAGTTGTAGACTCAGTTTCCTGTGCTCTTGAAGTTCCCTCCGTCTCAACTCCAACATCGGTCCTGACAAGTGAAGAATCATCGCCGTAGATAGGCTGAGGACCCGCACTGATTTCAGGCTCCCCATGTCTCGGGGCGGAATGATTCGGCTCCGAGGAGAAATAATGCTGCTTAGGAAAGCGTAGTAAGAGCTTATTGCACGATGACCAAGTGAGGCCCAGGATGTCCCAGATGTTGTTGCAGGAAAAACTCAGATCGCTATTCATAACTTCAGGTGCAGTTGCTGACCAGAAGCCATTCCACAGTCCAGTCATACTGATTTCGATATCACCGCCATTCTTTACCATCTGATGGAAGACATGGCTGGGGTTGTTCAGGACAATATCTGCCTCCAAAGCCTCGCCAGGGGCGATGATGGAAAGCTCAGGTGCAGTTTCTGGCCTGTACCCTTCTGGCGGGGGTGCGATCCCCGCAGCATTGGGCTGCTGACCAGGGGCGTTGATCTTGAAGTACCCATAGTCAAAGGCATACTGGCTAAGCGGGGAGTACCTCGTCCAAAAGGTGATTGGGTAGGCATCGTTGTTGTTGATCCTAACCTTGACGGTGAGAGGATTTGAAGAGACAAGACTAAGGGTGACTTGAGCGTTCTGAGAAGCTCTGCAGAGTTTGCCATCAGCCTGCCAGCCGCAAGGCTCTTGCCTTATGACAGGGCCGATGAGTGCTTTGGCAACGTTTTCTTCCTCTGGAGTAGGCCATTTACCGTAGTAGTAAGGAGGCTTGGGTATGCCGGCGGGGCAGAGCCAGGGTTGGTGATGGGCTTGGGGAAGCTGGATACAGGGGTGCGCGCAGCCAGAGTTTTTGGCAGCGACGTACCCCAGGAACCCGAGGATGAGTATGACATCAGAGATAAGGTAGGAGTACATCTTCAAGCAGTGTGGACTAGGATGTTTAGGTGGGGAAGAATATGGGGAAAGGAAATGATGACGGGAAGAGTACTTGATCAAAACGTGATTCTGAGCTCCATTCCTGGGGACAGGAGGGGGGAAGCGAGATCTTAAGTAGGTGTGAATGTCGCACTGGTATCACACACGCTTCAAAAGGAAGGAGGGTTTGTAGTGGCAAATTCAAGGTTTCGTTACGCGTCTGTCAGAACTAGGGGAGCAAGTTGTCGCCATCGGGTTGGTACAGCTGTATAGAATACAAGGTGCTCGAGTCTCCAAAGTCAATTTGATAGGACTCCAGGATGTGATATCTGGTTATCGGTCAACCGTAACGACGGCGAGAGTCTTCGTGTCTATAATACTGATCAAGATATCCCGTACGCCTGGTGAGTAGACATGTATTGACCGTGATCATGATACAACTGTTCGGCGGAGGGAAAGGCTTCTGTATACATGGCTTACGCCCCCGCATCTATGGAACGAGATTATTCACCATAGTACATCTTCACAAGCTTCTCACTATGCCACCTCGTTGGCCAAATCGCCGTTGTTAAGATCTCGGCTACGCAATATCAAGTTTAGGGTTAATGCCCTATCCGCCAGGTTGTGACTTTGCCCTCCTCGCTGGCTTGTATCCCCTAGTCTTTGCAGCCAGAATAACCCCAGGCCTCCGGCCTACTCATCCAACAGGGAAATAAGGTTGTTGGGAGTTGAAGATGTGGCTTGATGGGTTTGCTACAAGACACATAAAGAGATATGTGGCATTACGCGATTGGCGCTCAATTTACATGTGCCAATGAAAGAATCCTGGAGATCTAATAACTTTATTTAGCCTTATGGAATAGATGAGAAGGCTGACGTGATGGCAAAGAGGACGCGCGCCACTTTAACGTTTCCCACGCGTGGTAAGTTCATTGGCCGGACACCGAACGCACCATCGCCATGAATCGCAAAAACCCATATCAAGATCACATGCCAAACCTTCCAAGGGCTCCTCAGGGTTCTATATGCACAGTTCACTGTCAAGTCTTTCAAGGAAATCCGTGACCAATCAACTGTATCTGCTAATAATCACCTGCTTTCGCTGGCAGAATACAATAGACGAAAGGATACGTGCGAATTTTCACTTCTAGCTCTCGTCAATTTACTCCTGCAAGGTTTATTGTACTCACGTGCAATTTGACAGCTTTTTCGACAGGAGGCCCTCTCATATTGCCAACTTCGCTCTTCAGGATGCTGAGAGAACCGCTGGAATACTCAACTAGTCGTGATTATGGTGGAGCGAGTCGCACTTCAATTCTCTATTGACAACCTTGAAGCGGAACGGGTTAATACGTGTGTTTACCAGCAGAGAACAATCTTTATCCAGGTAATTTTATGCCCCTCTGGATCGCTCAGTGAATTAGCAAGACAGATAGCTTCAAGTAGCATGGTAAAGATATGATATTTTAACCATGATACCTCGTAATGGCATGTTCACCAAGATGGTCTCACATCAGATAAGGCTATCTGACAATATTATCGATTAGATAAAACGCCGAAGTCTTGGCAAGATTATCGATAAAGGCGTCGCAGCGGAATAACAGCGGAGCGACCATTCCTCTTATTAGCTGCTTATCCTTCCCTCACCAACTTGGTCATGTCTATCATCCCGCGCCTCGCGGATATGTTTACACGATGATCCAACTCGCGCTGGGCGGAGCGGAATTGCCGATCAGCGACATCCCGCCTCCGAGCCCGCCATCAGTGCAGCCATGTTTGGTGATCACATCTGCAGTTTCACAATCGGGACTGACGATTACTCTGGTCGGCTTGATGAACATTTTGAATAACCTGTCTGGCCTCTCGAATTATGTGAACACGATATCCTCGTGATCAGCGAGTTTGGGAATGGCAATGGTGGATTCATCCATTCTTTGATGGAGCTTTGATGTCATTTACCCTAAATATCTTGTCTTGCAAATTCTGAGTCACTGATCATCAGGAAGACAGAGACAGATTACCTGATTCCATCATCAAAGGAATTCCGTTATCTTGCCAGTATCAAGGACGTATCTGGAATTCTATCAATAGCATTCCAAGTAGGCAACAACACAGCCGGCTATCTGTATCACCGTCTTCAATCCTCGTAAGCTTCACCTTGGTTGGTATCACCATCCTCTAGTCCAACAACTCGTGCAACAAAGCCCGACCGCTCCCCAGCGTCCGATAAAACACGACACATAATCACCAGCCGGTCTCCCCGTCTCCCGACTTTCTCATCCATCACCTGTTCTGCTTGGCGGCACCACATAACCCACTTTAATTAAGCATAACGCGAGCATGCTTAACAAATAACCTTAAACGCCAAGTAGCCGCCAAGCGCCAAGCGCCAATCTCAACACTCCGCCAACCTCGAGCCAAGAAAGCCGCCCCCCTTTGTAATATCTTGGCCAGGTGACTTGGCCACTCACTCATATGGCGATGATTCACTCTGGCCGAATCATTTCTCTACAGCCAAGTGCACCGAATACAGCCAAGCTCTTGGGTGCACTTGGCCACCGTTTGGGGCTTACGACTGTGAAGCGGCCTGTGTCTCCCCATCCCTCGCTGTCTTTTCTTTTGCCCTGCCGATCTTATTTCTCTGTTTCTTTTTTTAATCTTGATTGTTGTGAGAAATGCTGAGGCTGATTAAAAACATTACGCGTTAGAAGAGACGATCGAATCGTCGTAAGCGTTCAGCCTCGAGATTAGCGCGAGCTTTCGTAAACGCCATGATAATCCCACTCAGCTCGGTATCGTCATCGGGATCAGAAATCCCGCAGCTTGCACTCTCGGAGCGGAAAAAGCGCCTGACACAATGGCAGGTGGCGTGTATTCCTTCCCTCACCTTCTTCCGCGGCGGTAGTGGAGCACTTGAGCACCTGTTCTCAGTCTTGGCTTACAACCTCCTTCGATATTCCTGTTTTTAGCTTCCGCCCTGGGTAGCTTTGACCTGCTTGAATCACCCACGCAGATCTCATGTTTTAGTACTGTCTCTCATCATCTCCCCTTGTCTTCTGCCGTCAATAAATCTTGGCTTCTGTTTAGAAAAAGCGTCTGAGGCATTTTCCCTCCCCCAGCTTCCCAGCTTTAAACTTGATAACTCGCTTTTATCTCCCCCGCGTTCCTCTTTGTACAAAAGGCTTTCTGCGCCCTGCATACTGTGTCCCAAACGCCACTATTGTAGAACTTCTTCCTTCTGATCTTGACCTGACTCTGAGCTACCTTTTTCTTTTTTTCTTTTGCGTCTTATGTTCTGTTGGTGAAGAACCTACTCGCTGTTGCAGAGTTTTCGTACTCGAAGGGCTTGTTGACTTTTTTCTCTGGATAGTGTCTGGTACACATCCTCCCCAAAGCCTCTCTGTCATCAAGCCTACAGCACCATCACCAATATCTCAGCAAACAAACCGGCAGACCTCAAGACTATATACTTCAGAATCCCAAACATTTAGTTACGTGATTCTGCATACATCCTTGACGCCAAAATGCCAGTCCTCAACCTCAGTGAGCTCAACATCGTGTTGGGAGTCTTGGGTCAGTACGATTCCCTCCTGGGCATTTCTTGGTGGTGATTTGCCCAGATCTTGGCGAGCCTTGGCGTTCTGACAGAGTTTTCACAGGTGGCTTCATGGCGTTATACGGTATCATTTCTGTGAAGATTAAGCAGTCATGGTACCTTGGAGAAGCTCGTAAGTTATATTGGTCATTCGGTGCTGATGGCTACTGATGGTGTTGTGTAGTACCTGCTATGGTGTTTGGCATCATTCTTGGGCCCGTGTCAGCCAAGTTTCTCGATAGTGAGAGATGGGGCTCGGCAGAGCCAGGCCAGACTGAGGACATTGCTCTGGTAAGTGACACCGAAACTGCTATGATGCTCTGTGACTGACCTCTATAGGGCCTGATGCGAGTTGTCATTGGTGTTCAGCTCGTCATCGCTGGCTACTCGCTACCGGCAAAGTACAACGTGACTCGCTGGAAAGAGTTGCTCATGTGCTTGCTGCCAATCATGACCCTCATGTGGCTACTGACAACAGGCTGCATTCTCGCTACCGTCCCCAAGCTTAGTCTTCTTGCTGCACTGGCCCTCGCATCATGCGTTACATGCACTGACCCGGTGCTTTCGCAAGCTGTTGCGAAGGGTCCTTTTGCGGACAAGTATGTTCCTCGACATCTTCGAGAGATCATCTCGTCTGAAGCTGGAGCCAACGATGGATTCGGTATGTTTATTGCGCTGTGATGATTAATCGAGTTACTGATGGCTATAGGCTTCCCGTTCCTCATGCTTGCTGTTTACTTGATGCGACATGCATACGAGCATCCTGAGCAAAGTGGTGCTGAAGCCGCGCATCTTGCTGTACGCGCTAGTGAGGAGGTTGGTCGTCTAGGTGGAGGCATTGGTGAAGCCATGAAGAACTGGGTCGTCGAGACTTGGCTCTACTACGTCGCCATGGGTATCGCCTACGGTGCAGTTGTCGGTTTCACGTCATGCAAGGCCATCAAGTACGCGATGCGTCGGTAAGTGTCCATGACTGCATGCACAATTGATAAGCGATGCTAACAATTGGCAGAGGATGGGTCGATGAAGAATCTTACCTCCTCTTCCCCGCAGCCCTCGGCCTCTTCATCATCGGCACGACCGGCGCCATCGGTACAAACGATCTCGTCGCCTGCACCGTCGCGGGCAACATGCTCAACTGGGACGGCGAATTCCTCGCCGAGACGCATCGCCGCCACGACGAAGTCAACCACTGCATCGACGTGCTCCTCAACTTTGGCGGTTTCATGTTTATCGGCATTGTTCTTCCCTGGGAGTCATTCCACGACCCCGACGGCACTGGCGTTACGGTGCCCAGACTTATCGCTCTTGGCTTCATGGTCCTTGCGTTTCGTCGCATCCCGGCAATTCTGCTACTGTACAAGGCCATGCCTGCTGTTGTCAGGGATTACAAGGAGGCGCTTTTCATGGGTTATTTCGGGCCTATTGGTGTCGGTGCCGTTTTCTACCTTGAGCACATGAAGCACTTGTTTCCTCATCCCGAAGACGCAGACCAAGAAGAGCGCGATCTTCTCGCCGCTCTCGGCCCAGTCATCTACTTTCTCGTCTTCTTCTCCATCGTCGTGCACGGGCTTTCGATCCCTCTTCTAGACTTTGTCTACCGCAAGAGAGGCGTTGAGCCCATCCAAGACGACGCCATTTCCATCCGCCGCAAGTCATTCACCTCAGCGACGCCCGTCAACGCGATCGCCGCTGATGAAGACAACTTTATCGCGTTCAACCGCTTCAGCAGGCCTGTCGACGAGAACGGGATACTGCCTGGTGAGATCCCACCTGCTGTTCTGGCGAGGAATGAGTTTGCTGTGTTTTCGGGGGATCATTCGTCCGAGGATGATGAGAGGGAGAGGGAGGAGCAGGAGAAGAGACGACAGAGACGGACGATTCAATACATGGTATAGAATTAGTGTAGCATCATAGATTTGTGTGTAGCGTTGCATTTAGAATCAAGCGTGGAGTTGGTGTTTTACCCGTCGTTGCCGCGCATCGTGATCTGTTGTTTCACCCCGAGTCGCGTCTCTTAAATGTTTCTTCGCGCGAATGGTGCCAAGTCTGACGTCACGGAGAGAGTGAGATAAGATAAGTGTTAATCTTTTACGGTGCGCTTGTAGGGTAGTCAACTTCAAATCGAGATGTCAGTCCTTGCACTTACTGGTTTCGTCGCTCAGCAATTCATTTCGTATAAGGATGCAAGAGCATTCCCTGCCTGCTGATATTCTGTTTATTAAGAAAGTTCGAGTCGAAAAACGCCTGGTATCGGATCCTGGCGCAAAGCCACCCAAGAATTTATATGGTAAACACGTTATCACCAAACTATCTCAAGCCCCTCACATGCACATAAGAGAACAGAGGAGCAGAATTTAGCAGCACATCTAGTAACTCCAAGCAGTACTTCGATCAAGGATAATACTGAACTTTGCGCTATATACCTAAATAAATTCATCCACGGATTCATTGCCTTAGATGAATATCGACATTACTTGTGCATGATGCATAACCATCAGCTTCCACGCGTTGACTTGCATAACGTGCATAATATACACAACTCCTTGTCAATAAACATAAAAGTTCGTAACCTCAGGATGATCCCTCCTCGTCTTCTTGTTCAAATGCTTCAAATGGAACCTCAACCCCCACGCAATAACAACAACACCAAGCGAAAATGCAATACTCGAAACCCAAGCAGTCGTGTATCGCGGCTCATCAGAAGGAGGCCACAGATAAGCCGTGTAAACATGCGCCAGATTCCCAAAGGTATTACAAATCGCAAGAGACACGGCTTTCTTCTCGCTTGTCTGCCCGACTGTTGCGCTAATCCACGCAAGGATGATGTTATTGATACCAAAGCTGAAACCGACGAAGAGGTAGATGCTGAACATCCGAGCTGCTATGTTCAACGTTGAGACAGCGATGATGAATCCGACGATGACGATGCATTTGCAGATGGTGATGTGTAGCGTGCGTTCATTCCAGCGCCCCGATGTCCACGCCATAGCGATCCCGATCCCAGCGGCGAGGAGATACGGTGGGCATGTCAGGACTAAAGCGATGGTGTTGCTGTCCGTGAGAGTCCTCATGACGGTTGGGAGGAAATTCTGGAAGCCGACCGATGAGAGGTGAAGATTGTACATAAGACACAGTGCCCATGTTCGCCAATCAGAGGCAGATTCTTTGAGGCCGATCCACACACTCGTCTTTTCACGAACATCTGTTGTATCGGTATAGATGCGGTTATACGCAAGCTGTCGTTGCTCTTCCGAGAGCCAGCGGGTGGTGAGGGGATGGTCTGGGAGGAAGATGAATGCTAAGATGGCGGTGAGGATTGATAAGGCGCCTTGGATGATAAAGAGCCTGCGGTGATATGGTGAGCGCTGCGAAGGGGTCTTGAATGAGCTACGTACCATTGCCAACCAGCCAGACCATGCTTTTGGTCAAGGCCAGCAAAGACTCCAGCGGCGATGAGGCCCGCAAAGGAACTAGCTATCATGTTCCCTGTATAGAAGATAGCCAGTCTGACAGCAAGTTCCTTGCGGGTGTAGAACATGCTTAGAATGAATAAAGCTCCAGGATAAAACTACTAGAGGTTAGACGTGATTCCTGAATTTAGAAGGCAATACTCACTGGTGCTTCAGTTACTCCAAGGATGAAGCGAAGCGCAACCATGCTTCCGTAACTGTTCGCCAAGAAAGTCACTAGACTGACGACAGACCAAGCGAGACAGAATCCAGCCATGTACCAAGAGGGCTTGACTCTGTTGATGAGCATGTTGCTTGGGACTTGGCCGGCACTGGATGCGTTAGCTACTGGTCCCTCTGAAATCGAAGGCGAATGAACTTACATGTATCCGACAAACAGAATCGAAACGCAAGTATTATACTGCGTCCCAACAAGACCAAGATCCTCTTCCAGGCTGTTAAGCCGCGCATTGACCAGGGCGTTGCGATCGAGGTAATTGAATAGGTACATGAACCATAACATAGGCTAAAACACCAGTCAGAACAAACGAATAATCATTGGATTTGGATGCTCACGAGAATGTATTTATCCAATTTCTTAACGAGCGCAATCTCTCTCGGGTCCGTTTTCGCATGGGCTCCAAACTCATCTACCTTGTCCATCTTGGGAAACTTTGAAAATATGGCGTCATCGTTTGGTCTCGACTCAACGTTGTCAAGCGCCCGTTCAATATGCTCGTTGCGCGCTGCATCATCAGGTTTATGGTCATGACCACCTGGACTTTGAGCAATTGATGTCGCCATCTTCATCAGAAGCTTCGAATCAAAAGTTATAAAGAGTTTCTGTAAATATTTCGAGTCAAAGACAGAAGCAGACGCCAGTTTTTATGCAAACCGCTCCCACGCCAAGACTCCCCCACGGGGTAACGAGATGCGGGGGATCAGCGTAGTTTAAAAGAACAAGGTTGGCTAATGACGATAGTAACGCTCTATGTGACGATTATGATTGGTGGTTTTGGGATTAGAGTGGTAGGAGCTTGTGCGGAAAAGCAGATAGAGTAGGAGATCTGCCGGTGGAATTGCCAGAAACCGGTATGGCGCCGTGGCGGAAAAGCACCAGCGTCTTGGGAGGTTTTTGGCGAGCGAATCAGGGACAGTTTCTCTGGGTTGGAGGTGAGAGGTTCATCTGTCGTGGATGACGTGGACTGAGATCAGTCTTCTGCCCGTGTTTCTGGGCATGCTATTGATTGCCTGTTCGGGGTTCCTGACCCTGTTTACGAATGTAGTCCCATGACATCTTGTAGATTCGCTAAGCTGTCTAGTACACAGACCTGCCAAGTATACTGCTGTCTACCCACCACTAAATACCAGAGTCACCCTCAAAGAAATCCTTCTCCCCATCCATCCACGTCTCCCAAACCTTACAAACTCTCTCCGCCTCAATCATGTTGGGCGAGCCAATAGGAAACAACTTATTCGCATCTCCCTGTCTCTCCAAGACCTGCATAGCCAACCCTTCAGAGGCATGGCGCGCAATGTGACAGTGCATCAGCCAGATACCTGGGTTATCAGCCTTGAAGGCAATAACCGCGAAGCCGTTGGCGGGGAGTAGGACGACATCACGTCTTGGCGGATTGTCAAGCTTCAAGTTCAGCTTGCTTGGGTCGTAGGGATGTTCCTCTTGTTGCAGAAGAGCGAAGTCATGGCCATGAAGGTGGATCTAATACGAGTTAGGTGGAGATCAAGTGGCATGGGTTGGGTACTTACTGGATGAGCACCGGGAACACTGGCACCGTCTATGGTGAGAACGAAGTAGACCTATCACAGTTAGTCATGTTACCTGAAGACACTTGAAAGTATTTGGCACATACCCATTCTTTCTCGGTATAGTCCTCAGGAATCACCACCCACTTCGGCGGGTAAGTATCCCTCGGTTCATCCAGATGAAACATAACAGGGTCAGAGTAGTTAATCTGCAGTGGTCTAAACCTCTGACCAGGCCTTTGAAGACCAAAAGTAGCGACGGGGTACTCGTCTTTGAACTCAGGTGTTGTCTTGGCGTTTCGATCAAAAGTAACATTGAACCTCTCACCGTTCTGAGCATTGGCCGCTGGGCCGATATACCACGGAATCTTGGGTCTCAGCGACGTATACGTCTCATCAGAACAAGCCTTGCTGATGTTGACCCAAGGCTGAGAAGATGGAAGAGCTTTGTCAGAGTGATTATAGCGCAGTATGCCGGTCTTTTCATAACCGTCTCCTCCTGGAGCTATACCACAAGTATCAGCGACCCACGTCCTTATCCAGAAGTTTCCATCTTCTGGGATCTCATTGATATCACCGCCCAGAGGATTAGCTTCAACGATGACGTTGTATCTTTGACCGATACCTATCAACACAGACGTGTTGAAGTACGGCTCAATGGGGACGAAATCTGAAGTGACGATCTGAAGCCAGTGGTTATCAATGGAGAAGACGAGTGTTGAGTCAAAGGAAGTATTGATCAGACGGAGCAGGTATCTCTTGGGGCGAGTTGGCTTGTCGGTTGGAGTCTTGTTGAAGTATAACTCATAGTTGTCAGGGATAGGGAGAGTTGGAGTGTAGCCGTAGTGGGAGACGTTGCCTGCGCCGTTGAGAAGAATGGTCTTGTTGGAGAATAGGGAGCCTGGGAAGAGTAGCCTGAATGCGCTCTCGTGAGCTACATGCTTGGTCAGTAGGTGTCTAGAACACGGGTTTGGAGTACGTACACCAATCTGTCATGAGCAGAGGCCTCTTGGTCGCATCATAAGGGGCAGATTGAGGGCCATGAATTGTCTGGGTCATTAGCGGAATCTCCCTTGGGTGGGTTGTGAAGGGCTTACGATCGGGCCTTGAAGACCATCTGCATATTGTACAGAGTAGTGGCTGTGATACCAAGATGTTCCGTACTGCGTCGTATTGAAGATATAGCTGAAGCTATCACCTGGCGCAATAGGACACTGAGTAATGCCATTGACACCGTCCATATCCATGGTCTGGTTCTGACGGATGCCGTGCCAGTGAATACTTGTGCCATTCCTCTTCATACTGTTGATGACGGTGATATTGAACGTCTGCACCATAGTCAGTCAAAGTGGCTATCGTTGCAGTCAAGGTGTACTCACATCTCCCCAACAAGCCTCAAGCCAAGGCCCAGGATACTCCCCATTAAACAACTTCGCCTCCGTAAAGTTCTGCCCATCAGCATTATACCAACTCTCCGTAATATTAAGTGTGTAATGCCTCATGATCCCCTTTGGCGCAAATTTCTCATAGTTAGTATGAATGTTGAACTCTCGCCCATCAGGATGTCTCAGCCAACACTCTCTATTCTCTGGGATTGAACATTGCACGAAACCGGTCATTTCGGGGTACTCGCAGAGGAATTCATGATCACCTGGCGGGGGATGAAAGATGGGAAAGCCAGGGCTGGGATCTTCAATGTGAGTGTGAGGATGGTTGGGGCGGAGGGGATGTTGGTAGGAGGTGGATGGGGATGTGGGCCACATTGTTAGCCATGCGACTATACTGACGCAGGCGTGCCATACTCGCTCGATGAGAGCCATTTTGAGAATGCTTTTTTTTTGGTGGTTTGGGGTCGAGGGTTCTGTGCTTTGTGAGACGGGATTTAAATAAGAACGTCTCGTCGTTCGTCACGCGGTCATCTCAATCTTGTTATCGGAGAATATGCAAGCTTATGATGGCAATCACATACATAAGTTCCTGCCACAGTCAACAAATCCAATCATGTTCCCATTTTCAAGCAACGCTGCGATACGAGTTCCAGCTGGTCAAGGATCACGGTCTTGGCACTGGAATGTTTCAGCCCTAGGACTTATAATCTCACCCAACGACCCAATCCGAATCTTTCTACAGATGACTAACACGATTAGACTTCGTCATGTCTCACCGCAGCTCACAATCACAACGCCTTCATTGCAGAAATTCACCCCGTGATTACGCCAACGGTCGTACAAGTTGGTAATGAATTATGTGAGACCAATCAACCGCCCAGAGGCGTTGCTTGGGCACAGTCAGGGTTGGAGTAGACCAATTGGAAAAGGGCGGATGTTGGTCCAATCACTCCGTTGCTTACGGCTGAGGAACTGAGGCTGAGCATGACGAATACGAGGTGTCACGGGTTGAGATAGGCTATCCAGGAAACAAGTATTCGCTGAGTTCCCGTCAATACCCGAGCGCGGTATAGGCTTGATAACAAAATCTTTCAGTAATGAGCGTGGGAGGGTTGTGGTTCTGTGGTTGATATCCGAGTAGGCTTACTCAGGTTGGTGAGATGCTGCGACCCGGCGTCCGAGGGCTCTTACGTGAGAATGGCGGTCTCACGTCTGTATCGCGATCGAACGGTTTCAGCCTAGTCATCAATATCTGAGATTAGCGCATGAACGTTATCTTCCGAACGGTCGCATGCACTGACGTCAAAGGAGAAACGTCACACGGTAATATATCGGCTATGCCGGACGTCGCAGTCGTTATCAAGATGAAAATCATTTCAATTATTGTACAAAAGCAAGATTTATCTAGAGTTCCTTTATCGTCACTTCGCTGACTGTCTCTGGCACCTTCAAGAACGGATATTCAATACCACTTGAGCGCATTTGCCCATACCAGGTCCCACATCCTCGGGACATCCCCTCCGGCCTCCACGGCCTCAGCCCACTTGACGATATGCTTCAAAACGGCGACATCATCGCAAAACTGCACTGCAAAGTCAAAGTCCCTGAGCAGTTGTGTCTTTTTATGAATGTCCATCCATCGCGGGTCAAGTCGTTCCATTTCTTCCAAGAAGACCTCTCGCATGCGTGTGGTTTCGTACTGGTGTAAATGCTTGTAGTATAGTTCTGACATTTCGCCGTTCGCGTCATGGCGGTATCGCCTGCGGTCGGGTTCGCTCCATCGGGGTTGTTCGAAGAGGAATTGGGGGATGCCGCAAGCTTTCCAAAGGGGGACTATTGAGACACACTCCCAGTCGACGATACCAGTGATATTGCCTCTATCGTCGACAAGAACGTTGTTCCCGTGTAAATCGTCATGGTAAAGAACAGTGGTCTCTGCTTCAGCGTGACATGGAAAAATGCACCGGATCAGACGTAGCAATCTCTCGGCGATGCCAAACGTTCGAGCAGCATCATCAATCTCTTTAACCGCAGCGCAATCGAGGTCGCCCTTTCCACACCACTTTGCCATGGTCGCTGTCGCATCCATCTTAGTCGCCTCGAGCCGTGCAGCAAACCACTCGCTGCTGTTCCGAAAGGGCCCTCGCTTAATGTCGGATTTGTTGATGAGACCGTAGAAAAAGCACGTCGACACAATCGGGCCGGGCCCCGGTAGTTCGCTTCCGTATACGGGCGGGTAAATGTTTCCAATGCACGAGAACCTCTGGCGAAAAAGCGACGCTATGAAAGACGCAATCTGTCGGACTGTTTCGGTCTTCTGAAGCAGGGTTAGATGCCGCCATGTATCCTGCATCCGCGCGCCTGGAAGCTTGCTCATCAAGATCCATTCGTAAGTAACAGGCGAATCGCGCGACGCATCGTAATGAATGACTTTGGGGATCGGAAGGTCTGTGATCGTGGAGACCCATTCGATGGTCGCGACTTCGCTCATGGTCTTGTTCTGCGGATCGACGGGGAGCGCCACTCGCAGCAACAGCGGGGCCTGATCGTTGACTTGCACTTCGTAGAGTTTGTTGAAGCAGCCTTCGGCAAAGTGTTTAATGTGGACGTTGTCGGTATGGAAAAGCGCTTGGATCGTCATTCTCATCTTGTCAAGATCGGGCTGGAAGTCCCATCGCGGGGTGAAGCCGAGATTGCAGTCTTCCAAGTAAACGTCGGCGAGAAGTGAGGCTCCGGATCCTGAGGTCGGCATCGTCGCGCGCAAGAGCACAAGCAAGAGTTCAATTGAGTTGAAGATCAAGTTTCGCTGGCGTTTTCAAAAACGAGGCGGTGATGGAGGAGGGGAAAATGAGGCATGGAAGGAATCATGGACGAGATAATGCATTTTCGATGGGCAGTTGCTTTCGGCGGGTGACTCAGTGTAGACCGACTGTAGGTATGTTTGCGACAGTGCATCGCGTCTGCATCTGTTTGAACAAACAGATTCAATCATTGTCGGTTTGTCACCGCCGAAGCCAAAACTCTGATGTACTGAGGTTGTTTGTTCACTTTGTGGTCGCGTGAGTCAATGAATGAAGAAAATCAGCCCTCGCGTATTTGGGCGTTTTACAATTGGCTGCAACTCTATTTGTCTCAACGGTGAGTGACTACATGCCGATCGCATTGATTGTCCCAACTTTTAAGTCGCGATGCATCCCTAATTCTCATCCTGGGGATACTCCAGCCCATTCGCAGCTCTAATCTCATCCATCAACTCCATCAAACGAATAGTCTCATCCAACGGAACAACATCGTTCTCCGTCTTCCCCGCCGCGATATCCTGCGCCACAGCATCAGCTTCCCAGTAGAATCCCAACGTTCCCTCGTGGCGCTCCACGTTGAAAACGCGCGTGGTTCGGGTATCGGCTGCAGGAGGTCCCGGGCGCTCTCCCTCAGTGACGCGGAATCCACCGGGGACACTGACTGCGGGACCAAACAATGTGATACTTCCGTTGGTACCTTGAATGTAGCCGAATTCATCAGGGCCTCGATAACGGAAGCTTGAGGTGCAGATTCCTGTTTTGACACCTCCATTGGCGGAGGGGTATTCGAGAATGACCGTGTTCGCAGCGTCAATACCACCAACAATGTCAAGAGATGACAGGACCTTTGTCGGTTTCGGATGATATTTTCCAACTTTCCAATCACCAAGAATGATCGAAGCAAACGTTAGTGTGTAAAATCCAATGTCAAGCAGAGCACCGCCTCCAAGCGCGGGGTCTTTGAGACGATGATTGTCGGGCAGGCTGCTAAGATCAAACTTGTTTCCAAAGTCAATGGAAAGTCGCTGCACTTCACCGATTGACTTCTTGACAATGATCTCTTCATGTAACGCCTCAAACAAGGAACAAAACCTCACCCAGGCAGCTAACAAACATTAGCATGCAGTTAATTAAACGCGGGGCTGAACAAACCCTCCATGACAAAAACGCCTTTCTTCCTCGCCGCATCAACAATATCCTTTGCTTCCTTCGCATTAATCGTAAAAGGCTTCTCGCACAAAATATGTTTACCCGCTGCGATAGCATCAAGGCAGTTCTTCCTGTGCAGTGAGTGCGGCGTTCCAATGTATACAATATCCACGTTTGGATCATCGTAGACACCCTGATAGTCCGCGTAGACTTGGGGCTTGGGCTTATCCGGCGCTTTCTCCCAGAGCTTCTCCACGAAGGAAGTGCCTTTCTCGATGGAAGAGGACCCGATGGCTGTGATGGTGTGTGTTGCTTTGGCGTCGGGTCGGGTGGTGAGGAGGTCGCGGAGAAACATTGACGAGACCCATCCCGTGCCTGGATGAACGGTTAGCTTGAGAGAGTGAAGTGGATGCGAATCGTACCTAGGATGCCCCATCGCAGGTGAGGTAGAGAGTCTGCTGAGCTGGCCATCTTGAAAGATGATACGAAAGTTGCTTCGTGTACTCAGAGTCTCAGTGAGTGATCAATTTAAAGTCGTTGTCCCGGACCCGCAAATACTGCTTTATTCGGGATAGTGGTCACCGAAGCACGGCAGTCGGGTGTTCAAAACCTTGGGATGATCAACAGTTTAATCGCTTTTATGCATTAACTCATCCGATCTCGGACTTTAATAGCCTGCTGACCGTTTAACACCGACTATCTGAAGGCTCCAACGATTTTATGCTTCTCTTTGGTTTCTCGCGGAGTAGCGGATCTATCACCGATACTCCCCGAAGAGCGGGGTTGTGTCGTGATACCATCTCCGATCCACCAAGGATAAAATCAATGCGGGGACAAGCGATCAATGACGCTATAGCCGGGTGAATAAGAAGATGCGGTAAAAAGGGGAATTTGATTTGTAAGTCAACGTTAGATAAAAGGTCCCAGCGATCGATCAGATAAAAGAAGTCTCTTGAATCTCGTAAAGTGAAATTAGTGTAAGCAGCCTCTAATCATGGCACCTATCAAAGTTGGTGTCGTAGGCTACGGCAACTCAGCCAAGAGCTTCCACTTGCCATTCATCACTTCTATCCCAGACTACGAAGTCATTGCTATTCTCCAGAGAAAAGAAGCACCCGCTGATCCATCATCCGCTGAGAAGGGCTCGCACTGCACCGTTGATTTTCCTGGCATCAGACATCATCGCACAGCCGAGGAGTTCTTCGCCGACAAAGATATTCAGTTTGTAGTTGTTGCTACGCAGCATGATACACACGCATCTTTTGCAGAGCAGGCGCTCAACGCGGGAAAACATGGTGAGTGGCCTTTTTGAGCATTGGGTTGAAACTAACGTGAGATTAGTGATTGTGGACAAGCCTTTTGCTGTCTCGGCTGAAGAGGCCGATAGAGTGATCAAACTGGGTGAAGAGAAGGGCCTCATTCTTACTTGCTTCCAGAACCGACGATGGGTACGCTTCAAGTTCAGTTCTTCCAAATCGAATTCTAATCCTGTGATAGGACGCAGACTTCCAGACCCTTCGCCACCTCATTAACAAAGGTGCACTAGGCGATGTCAAAGAAGCTGAGCTGCACTATGACTTTGAGTCACCACCGTGGCTGTCCAAAATGGGAGCCAAGTACACTCCGGGCTCTGGGATGGCCTTTGGTCTCGGTAAGTCTCCTGTCACAATTTGCTTCGATCCTTTAGCTTACAGATTCTAGGTACGCACAGCATCGACCAGGCGCTTGTTCTCTTTGGCCGCCCCAAGTCAGTGACGGGGTTCTTCCGCGTGCAACGTGGCGCCGAGAGTGAAGTTGAAGACTCTTTCACTATTATTTTACAGTATGACGGTGCGCAGAAGGATCTGCTCGTTACAGTTAAAACAGCTGTGACGACGCCGATGGCACAGCAATTGAAGCAGCTCGTTCGCGGAACAAAGGGATCATTCATAAAGGTAAGAATTAATCAGTTTCATCAACATATTTTACTGACGTTTTATTAGTTTCAAAAGCATAGCTTTTGCGCGACAGAGGACGGTATCGCTGCTGGTCACAAGCCACTTGATGAAGGCTTTGGCGTTGAGTCCGATGAACTGCGGGGTATTCTCACGACTTACGAGGAGTTCGATAGTCACGTTCAGAAGTATGACCCAGAGATCAAGAAGTATACTGGCCGATATCCAAGTTTTGCAGGTCGATGGATGGGATTGTATGAGAATGTCGCTGATGCAATTAATGGCAAGGCGGAGCTGGAAGTGAAGCCAACGCAATCACGCGATGGTTTGAGGATCATTGAGCTCGCGAGGGAGTCACACCAAAAAGGCGCCACAGTTCCTTGGTCATAGACGAATGAACAGTGTTTACTCGAGTCAACAAAAAGAACATGGTTTAGTCACATCATTCGACTGGTGATGGAGAGTCGGTCGGCGAAAGTGCAAAAAGAGAGGATAATAGCGGGATTTAACCGCCTAAGTTGGACGAACAGGGAATCGAACCCTGGACCACTCCCAGATCTGTTCAGAAGACTGAATCATGCTAAGGGAGTATTATACCACTAAACCATTCGCCCTGAATGGGATTTGTTGAAGCCTGTCACCCGAATTGCAGCTCAGGTTCGCATTACCGACCTGTAGGATGTTCGCCTGTTGACCAGTTCGCAATCATTCATGTTGTGTTCCCGGGGCACTTCAAGCTGTTGGTTGAATCGTGTGCGAAGCTAAAAAAAAATTGCTGCGGGCGAATGAATGGCGATTGAGCAGACTTGTGGTCACTGGTCACTGTGAACAAGCTTTGATCATGATGGTGCGAAACTCTGAGTTTGCATCAATCAATGCCAGTCATTCCATAGCATGCATATCACGGGCGAAAGAGGCACATGAGGCGCTCTGCTATCTGAATCACTGTAGTCAATCGCATTGCACCTGAGTCACAGCGATCAGCATCAGGCGCGAGCTTTCAGTGGGTCCAGCGCTATCGCTCCCAGCACAGAACCACGCCACCAAAACCAAACGTCGGCAAGTTTCGCGACAACAACAAATTATTATTCTGGCAAAAGATAAATACAATCATCAATGCAAAAAGATCAAAAAACATCGACAACGGCAGGATTCGAACCTACGCGTGCGAACACAATGCCTTTGATGTCTCGGGGAAGATAGCAGGGCATCGCCTTAACCACTCGGCCACGTTGTCTGAGCTTTCTGATTATGTCAGACGCTTTCATTTTTTGCCCTATGTACTACGTTTGCTTTCAGGTCAATTCCGCTCTAACTTCTCTTTTCACGACATTGCCTTTCTAAACACGAGTTTAGTCAGTTCTTCTATTTCTTTCAACACTCATTTCCCCAGAGAACTATCCCGATTGTCCTGGATTCGTGTTAACCTGAACTTCTTAGCCATGACTCAGGTACCGAGATAGTCAGCCTTGGTTTTCTTCATCACACAGCAATTCACTAGCTAATTCTTGGTTGGTGGTAGACAGCATGGGCCTATCCTGTTACTTTGCAAATTTTCTTTTGTGTTGCATTTATTGCATAATGATCTTCGATTAACAGCTCATCCACAGCCTCAAGCAGCAGTTGGTGGTCGCTCAACAGTCAGGCACTCACTCACATGATAAGATTTACCTTCAGTTGAGAAGTTGTCTGAGCTTGATACAGTCAATGTATTCCTCTTCATAATGCGGTCGATGTCTACATAGTCAAGACAGTATAACGATTCTGTCTCAGCTCCCCATTCTAAAACCTTGTCCTCTTACCCTCAGCATCCTTCCTTATCAGAAGCATCTTTATTTGCCAGTAATTATACTATCGCTTGTAACCATTACCATCGCCACTCTGGCTGCTGCTTCGCCTGTAACAGCATGGTACGGTAGGTAGTCCTTCGTCCTTTCACGTCCAACTAACTAAACTCCTCCAGTGACATTTTACGACAACACAAACTTCTGCAAAGTCGACGACGAAACAGAGTACCAGATTCTCGAAGGTAACCAATTCGACTGCAACACCTTTGGCGCCAGCATGGACGGTGTAGACTGCGTCCACTTCGTCGAGGGTGGACGGGACAGAAAAGGCTACAAGAGTTTGTCCAAAGGTCAATCGGCAAAGCCAAAGCTAAACACAAACTCCTATTGCACATTTTATCCCGCTGTAGACTGCAGAGAGCTCAGTATCAGTAAGAATCCTGGACAGTGTGGATCTATACTGGAAGATCAGAACCCGGACTATATTAGGTCTTTCAGATGCGTGAGTTAATTAACTATCTTATATTGACTAGATTTACTAACGATATTATTAAAGCAAAACAGCGAGTAATGCGTAATTGGGGTTGTGTTGACGCTAGGTTATCTTAAATTATATAATTGTTTTCTCAGTATTTTGTCATTGCTGATCGGCTTGCAAAGGAGAGTCGCCAATTTGCCACACTTAATAGGAGAGGCAACTAGGTTTATCATTATACAGTAGCATATATGAATACTTACAATAAATGCTAAATATCAAAGTAGAGAAGAAACAAGAACTTCTCATCACCATGTGTTAGAAGTCTACTATCCGAACTCACATCTCTTGGTAAATGACCCAGCTGTAGAGAATACCCTACAACCTCCGCATTTTCCCCACTACAGCCCCAGCCCCCGAACTTTCTCTTCTCCATATCTTATCTTATCACCCCCGGCAAATACTTGAAGGGCCGAGCAATAGCCCACGCATAAACCTGCTTTCCACAGACCGGCAAACAATTTCTCATCCACCAAGCCTTGGCAGATCCATTCCCCGCTGTTGATTGCAACATAGTCGGAGCTAAATGAGCCAATTCTCATAGCTACCTACTATAAACGGTTTAAGCTTATCATCGGCTAACTTTGCTACTGATAAGCTATGCGGATCGGCGGGGAAGTTTGCTCCCCCATGTATGATGATCGTCACGGACTAGGAAGGTTGTTTAAAAGATGAAATGCCCGCATGATCGGGTTCCAATGTCTTTTCTTTGTTCTGTAGGTTCACTGGAAAAATGACGCTTCGCGCTGCTTTCGTTGGCCTTTTTTGCGCTGGCTTGGCCACTGCAGTTCGGTATAACGATAATCAGGTTGCTCTTACGAAAGACAGTGAAGAAGCGGCCGAGAACTTTCCTGAGGTCAAGCAGATTGATCTTCAGTCGCCTGCTTTTCTTGAACCTAAGAGTATCCCCGCTGGCTTCGACAACGGCACAAGCGGGCCAACAAGCGACGCTACTCTCAGTATGTTGTCAACGTGTCTTCGACATCCATGGACTAACATCCCTAGACTACTTCCTCGAGAGTCTTGCATCGCGCAATGACTGGTTGACGTACAATAACCCGTCCTTCAAATCCGATGAAGGACGCTCAATCCCTTATGTATACCTCTCAACGTCGTCGCAGCCTGAGATCAAGGCCAATTCATCTTCATCCCAGAAGCTCCGCGTCTACCTTCAAGGTGGCGTCCATGGGAATGAACCCGGCGGCGACCAAGCTCTTCTCGCGCTGCTCGGCAAATTTGACGCCAACTCAACATGGACAGCGTCAATCCTCGAGAAAATGGACATCATGATCCTGCCCCGCTACAACCCCGATGGCGTCGCTTACTTCCAGCGTTTCCTGGCAACAGGATACGATCCCAATAGAGATCACATTCGTTTCGCAAGTCAGCAAACTCGTGAGGTCAAGGCGCTGATTATTGACTTTGCTCCTCATGTCATGGTAGACGCGCATGAATACAGCGCCAATCGCGCTTATGGCCTCAAAGATCAGTGGGCGCAAGCAGTGGATGGTCAATTTGATCCAATGAAGAATCTGAACATTCACAAGGATATTCGAGAGTACTCCGAGGAGGTTTTCGTGCCTAGAATCGCTGGGGCGATGGATAAGCTGAATCTCCGCTGGAGTCCTTATATCACTGGAAACGCTAGGGAGGAGCCTCTGGTGTTTACTCAGCTTGATACCCAGGCTCGAGCTGGCGATGTGTCATTGGCGCTGACGCAAGTGATGGTCTTCCTCACTGAAACCAGAGGTATCGGTCTTGGAAGCCAGCACTTCCAGCGACGCGTTGCTTCAGGATTGACCATGATCGAAGCCATCGTCCAAACAGCCGCCGACAAAGCTGAAGAGGTATACGAAGTCGTCGAAGGTGCCCGCCAGAAGTTTATTGATGGCGTAGACGAAGTGGTCGTTACAGATTCCTTCCAGCCCACCAACCGCACCTGGGACTTCATCGACCTCCCAACCGGCAAACTCGTCGAAATCCCCGTGCAATTCCTCAGCTCTACACCTGTAAAATCCAACCTCACCCGTTCTCGCCCCGAAGCCTACATCTTCCCACAAGCATGGAAAGAAGCCGCTGATCGTCTTCGCCTCAATGGTGTCGCCGTGGAGAATATTCGCTCTGAGTTCCGCGGTGAGGTTGAGGCTTATAATGTTACGAGCATTGAGTTAGCCAGCACTGTTTATCAGGGCACTGTGTTGAACAAGGTCACTCCTGAGATTAAGGGGAAGGAGATTACCATGCCGGCGGGGAGCTTTTGGGTTCCAACGAGGCAGGCTGCTGCGGGGTATGCGTTTACTGTCCTCGAGCCTGAGAATATTGATTCGTATGCTACGTTCAACATCCTGCCGGTCAATGTCGGGGATGAGTACCCTGTGTATAGAGTCTTGAGTTAATTTGCACTATGTCGCTAGATAGAGAATCTGTAATTGGAAATACTCACGTCTAAACTCATTTCACATGCACAAACGTTGCTTACATTGATATTCCATAAGTTTATTGAACCTCGAGTTTCTTGTATCAAAATTCGAGTACCTACCTATTCAATTACCAAAATACTGAAAATCCACTTTAAGACTTCTCAATTCAGATCACCCTCCCAATTCCTCACTGCCAAAAGTCTGAGGTCTACTCTCTAGGCGACTCGGCGATTGTATCAAACAACGGCCCGACAGGCCTCTCATAGCACGCCTGGCTCATCTGACTTGCCTGGATAGCCCTAGCCATCGAATTAACATTCAGAGTCCCAAGCTGCTCAGCAATTCGTGACAAAGAACCCTCGGCCAGCCTTCTCTGCTGCTTCAAGTAAAAGGCCAGATCATGCTCCAGTCTCTTGAGGTGCCCCCAAGACTCACGAAGCTTACAAAGCTGAGCCCGACGCTCTTCGCCTTGGATGCCTGATTCGAGACGATCAAGAACGTCAAGAGCGAGATTAGAATACTTTTCATCCTGAAGTTTGAGTCGTTCTTTGAGGCGTTTGATGAGCTTTTCAAGAGCCTCCCAGATTTGACCGAACTCGGAAGGTTCGGGGAGAGAGGTAAAGCGGACACCGGAAGACATAGTTTCTAAGAGTGATTGTTCCTGGTGGGTTGACAGTTCTGATGAAAGAAGACCTGTTGGAGTTAGTATGACGAGTGGTTGGAACTTACCTTTTTGACACCTGAGTCCTAAAGCGCTATAGGAAAAAATGTCCATCATCCAGGGATACCGTATGGTTTTATAGCTAACACGTTTTGCCTGAGTAGAAGAACTACTAATTGGTTGGTCACCCAAAACCCACTGCGTGTCATGAGTTCCAGTGGAACAGGACTACTGAACATGTAAATGCCTGACACTTCTTGAACACCAATCTTTGTCGAACGGGATCTCACAGTCAGCAGAAGTGAAAAATAGGTCATAGTGCCTCTGATTTGCAGATGAAAGAAAGTATTACTAGAATGTTCATTGTTCAGCGCTTTCTATTCGTCCAATGGAAGATAAGGCTCTGATACAAACCTGGTCACAAATGAACAATCTAGATGAGTTGATAGATAATGACCCCGAAGGTCATCGTATGGCTCAATCAGGATGTGTATTCATCTTTAGACTTAGCATCATTCAAGTAATTAATTGGTTAATAACAATGTTATTCATGGTGAATTGTTTGTAAGACGCCCCAAGATAGCCGCTATCCCCAAATCGGAAATCGCCGGATCGGCGGTTACTCGATCCGTATTGGGGCATGAAATCTGACAAAAACCGCGCCGTGAACGCGTGAGATCAAGATAATTCCCTTTTCAACACAACAAGGCTGCTGCCTAAGCTAAAGCTGGACCTAAAAATACTCAAACTGGCCTGCATTCCCACTATCTCTTGGTACTTCATCTCATTCTCGCGACCATGGGCAATCCTCCGTCGCCAAAGCCTTATCGGGATGACCCTGATGCTGTGTCGCTACACACGACTGCGGGGGAACCCTCATACGCTCACGTAGAGGACGACGTTCTCAACGGCGATGAAGCGCCACCGCCTGCATACCATGATACGCCGATTATGGGTTTAAGCACTCCAGCGATGGCTCCCATCAGCAGCACCGAGATTGAAGAAGAACTTCTCCAAACAGGCGTCACCCAGCCCGAGTCTCACATCGCCTTCACCTCCAACCGCATCGGTCAAAAGCGCACTGGTATCGGCAACGAAGTGAACGCCGTACGCGATCCCCGCTCCGATGCGGATCCAGCATTTCTCGAGAAATGGGTCAGAACCATGGCAAGGTTTCCTCCTTCGCCGTATATCAACATTACGGGCACTCATAAGGAAACCAAGCGCGATAGCGATGGCAAGAGCAAGCGTGAGGAAGTCACTGATTTTAGGATCATGGTGAATTTGCAGAATTATCTTTATCCCAATTTCATCGTAAATCCTCTTGGCAACTCGACGCTCAAGACTGTTGAGAGTGGCGAGAAGACATATCGCGGCACGGTCTTGAAGAAACGTCAGGACGGCGTGAAAGGCGATATCGAAGTTGGCCATGCGAAGCCAACCCTGAAAGAATGGTGTCACCGTTACTGTGCGAAAGCAGCTGGCACCAAAGTGTATGTTACACCTCTTGGCTTGAGTTCCTTTCTAATGAGTTCCAGGTTCCGTTTGACTAGAACAGTCACCGGCATGGATGAGACCGTCTTCCGCAATAACTTGACAAATTATGTCCGAAGCTCCAACTACAAAGGAAACCTCACCATCGAATTCCCGGTCGCCGACCGAGCAGTCGACATCTACTCGTCCA